TTCTTACTGATTTCACCTGACTGCTGGAGAGTGGAATCAATGAAGAATGCAAGAATGGAAAAGTCATGGTATCACAGGACTGTTGGTCAACAGAGTTAATATTGAGTATCTAAATTATTGTTAATACAATGATACAGCTTAATGTAAATATGAAAATTAATGTCTAAAAGATACAGATCAGGGGCCGGCCTCATGGCATAGGGGTTAAGTTAGGCACATTCTACTTCAGTGGCCTGGGTTCATGGGTTCAGATCCCAGGTGCAGACCTACACCACTCGTCAGCCACACTGTGGCAGCAACCCACATATAAAGTAGAGGAAGATTGGCACAGATGTTAACTCAGGGCTAATCTTCCTCAGAGAAAAAAAAAATCAAAAAAATAAAATAGAAATAAAAGATACAAATAATAGAAAATCTAGTAATAATAATATTAGTTAAAGATAAACTATCAACAAAAATGTAAAAGTGGAGAGTCTGAGGTGGAGAAATTAAAGGTAAGCAAAATTCCTTGTATATGGAGGCCTCAACAAACTCAAATAATTAGAAAAAAATAAAATATTTTTAGAGAAATCTAAAAGTATTGCTTTAAATTAAAATGTGTATCTTCCTAATGACTAGAGAAAAGTATATGCATTAAAAAACTATTATAAATACAAGGAGAATGTGGAAGAATAAACTTATAATAGTAATTAGGTATAAAATCTGTTAAATAACGTGAATAAGAAGATATACTAAATAATACATTTAAAGCATTGCACATGGAACACAGACAGGACTAATATGTGTTAATTCACAAAAAACGTAATAAATTCCAAAAGGCAGATATTCTGTAGGCCACCTTTTTTTTAATAAGTCCCTTTTTATGGCCCTTTCAGAGCTTTTTTTTTTTTTTTGGTGAGGAAGATCAGCCCTGAGCTAACATCCATGCCAGTCCTCCCCTTTTTGCTGAGGAAGACCGGCTCTGAGCTAACATCTAATGCCAATCTTCCTCCTTTTTTTCCCCAAAGCCCCAGTAGATAGTTCTGTGTCATAGTTGCACATCCTTCTAGTTGCTGTATGTGGGACACCGCCTCAGCATGGCCGGAGAAGCGGTGCGTCCCTGGACACCCGGGATCCGAACCCGGGCCGCCAGTAGCGGAGAGCGCGCACTTAACCGCTAAGCCATGGGGCCGGCCCTCTGTAGGCCACCTTTTTGAATCCAGTGCAACAGTGCAATTAACTAGAATAAATAATTAACAATTTAATACCCAACCACCTAGAAATTTTAGGATATTCTCTTTGGAACAAAAGGAAGACAAAATTATAAATAAGACAAAATTCAGAAAGTTATGACCAAGTGGGAGTGGGAGGAGGGGAGAACTGTAGAATCTATGCTAAAACACTTAAAATCTTGATGAAATGCATAATTTTTCTAGAAAAATACAAATGATATTGAGAAATAAGGAGTGAATCCAAGGTTTCTGAATGGCAGTCTGATGAGTGATGGCTATTCACTGAGAATCACATGAGCTTGGTCTTGAGCGGAAGGAGACTATGAGCCATCCAAGTAGAAATTTTCAGCCAATAGTTGATAGATAAGGCTGAATCTTGGGCAACCTGTCTAAACTGGAAACAAAGATTTGTGAAAGCATGTAGCTTGACATGGAAATCATGGGGGCACTGATGAGGTTGCCAAGGGAGAATGTATAGCCGAGCAGAAGACTGCCTGGGCAACAATCATGAGGAGCATCAGCATTTACAAGAAGGACTGAGGACCAGCGGTCCTCAAAGCAGGCTGAGATGGCATGGCTGGAGAGGTGGGAGTGAGACAGGGCAGTGTGAGTTCAGGAAAGCCAATGGGTGGAAGTAGTCCCAGCAGGAGAGTACTTCCAGTGTCAAGTGCTAACTTGAGTTTAATATAAGAATGGAAGAATTCCTATTGGTTTAGCTAAAGTATTATTGGTGACCTTGACAAGAGCAATTTCACTGGAGTTCTTTCAAACTTTTAGTCAAGAGATAATATCCATGCTATATAAGTTTTATAGAGCATAGGATAAAATATAGAAAGCTTCTCACTTTGTTTTCAAAGCTGGTATGAAATAAAAATCCATCAGAAGCTGGACAACACCACGCACACAATCCCAGTTATTAATATGAGCACATAAATCCCCAGCAATGATGATAACTGACACTTGTCGAGTGCTCAATATGTGCCAGGCACTATTCTCAGTGACTTCATTGATTTAATCCTCATATCAGTAGTCTTAAGAAAATATTAAAAAATTTAGTTCAGAAATATTCAAAGCAAATTATATACCACCTCCACGAGTAAACATTTAATTGTGAAATATTGGGAAATCTATTATAAAATACAATATAAGTTGATCAAAAGAGAAAATTCATGTGATTGTGATTTTCTAAAATTCTTACAAGTCCTGATAAAAACCCTTATCAAAGAGTAGTAACTAATATCTATCTCAAATAGCTAATACCACATTTAGTGGTGAAATGTCATTCTCATTTAGAGGAAAACAAGCGAGAATATCCGCCATTGTCCTCATTTTTAGACACTATTGAAATGGTTTAGCCAACACAAGAATGGGATTAAGAGAACTAAGTGGGATTAATATACCTGTCAAAAGGAGACAAAATGCTCGTTATACATAGATGCTATGAATGTACAAGCCTAAGAATGAACAGGAAAAATAATGACATCTGTCAGGGGTTTGGTTGCAAAATAACAGATAGCTACCATTGGTTAAGATCTTTTATGTGCCAAGAACTGTGCTGGGGGCGTTATATATTGTTTCATTTCATTTTGACAGCAAACCTATGAGATGGATTTTAAACAGAAGCTTACAGAAATTAATGGTGGAGCTGAAATTCAAACTCAAGATCTACTCCATTCTAACGCTGATTCTCCGAATGACTGTACCATGTACCACACACACTACCTGCACAGACATATAAAAACCAAAAGTGTTTCTAGGTGCTAGTAAAACTTAGAAAATGTGATGAGGGGGTAATCATATTCACAATAAAAACAACAAAAAGTGAAATACATAGCAAAAAATAAAATGAAAAACAAAAAACTTATTACCTATGTGATGAGCAGTACACGTTTTAGTGATAAACCAAAAGAAGAAGAATTCATATATGTATGTATACGTCTATTATTGCAAACACACCCCCACACATATACACGTGTGTGTGTGTACTTACTGGATCTTGGAGTTGCGATGGTCTCTCTACATGTAACACCTAAGGACAAATTGGGATATGATATTGTGACATAGTGACAGTCAAAGTGTTAAAAATATTAATATATAAAGTGTTTTTACAGGTAAAAAAAAGACTAATCCCCCATAGAAAAGAATGCAGAAAGTATTAATAAGCAGGTCATAAAAGAGAAAATTAAAATGATCAAGTATAAGAAAAAATTCTTCAACCCACTGATGAATAAAGAAATGTAAGTTAAAATGATCACATGCATTGCTGGAGGGAGTAAAAATTTGTACATTCTTCTGAGGAGTGATTTGACAGAGTGTGTGAAAGGCTTTAAATATGTCATAATTTTTGGTCCAGTAATTCTAATTCTTGGAGTTTTCCAATTGAAATAATTAAAGTTATGCACAAAGGATAATTATTGCTCTGATTTTTATAATAGTGAGAAATTAGGATTATGTTAAATGCCAAACATTAGGAAGCCATTTAAGTAAATTATCGACCATGTCATGAAAAATATGCAAGAATTTTAAATAATGTTATAAAAGAATATTTAATAACCTGGGGAAAAGTTTGATATATTGTTAAACGGGTAAAAAGTAGGTTATGTAACAATGTGAATAGTATGTTTTTGAATAATTTTAAGTATATGTGTGTGTTTAAATCTGGAAGGATATAAGCAAAAATATTAACCTAGATCATCTCTAAAATGGTGAGATTATGAATGATTTTATTTTTAGTTCTGTATTTAAAATCTCTTATTTCTTAAACAAAGGTGTTTCTTTGATAGTTAGAATAATAGCAATAAATATTCATAAAACATATACGCAAAAAGGAAAATTAAAATACACGCTCCTGTGTTTACTGCTGCCTAATGGGAGTGCAGGTGATTATTATTTTATTCTTTGTATCTTTTTTCTTTACTTCGATCATGGGTTGATTTTAAAACCATAAAATTTAAACAATAAACTTCTAAAAAGTAAAGGAGGCGAGGAAGAAGGAGAAAGGATAAAAGAATCAACTCTGAAAACTCTTTAGCGTAGTGGAAATGCTGGAATATGTCATTCATTCATTCATTCCTCCCTCCCTCACTCATTTCACAGTTGCTGACACTAAGTGCCTACTATGTGCCAGGCACTGTCTTCAGCAATGAGAATACAAAACACAATGAGTTCTGCACTTAAGGAACTTGCAGTGGATGGTGGAGCCTGACATTAAATGAATGTACATGTAATGAAATATAATTGGAAATTCTGAAAGTGTATTACACATAAGAACGGGGTTTTGTGAGACTAAACTCACAGAAGGTTTATATATGCATGAATGTAAATATTTAAGAAAATAATTAAGAAAAAGTGATATTTAAGAGAAGAATTAATAGACAATAAAGGCATACTTGGGAAAAAGAAGAGGAGGAAGAAGGGAAAAGCATATAAAGGTAGTTTATTGTCTTCATAAGAAACTAGGGTATGGTTGATTGTATAATATTTCTGGTTATTTGAGAATGAGCAGAGAATTAAAAGTGTGTGCACCTGAGACAGAAATGATAAAATAATTGTAATAATACTGAAATTTTGAAATATCATTACAGTGGAAAAATATTAAATTGCTATTAATTTCAAACTTTTAAGTGTGAATTAACCAATGCCAATAGCAAAAATCCTTAACTGATTATATCTACTATGTATCGATTCTTAGATAATATCAGAACCTTCCTATTACCTGTGGAAGATTTAATTAGAAACTTTGCTTTATGGCTAGGATACATACTCAAAAAGAGGACTTTTATTTTTCAGCATTAAATGAACCCACCATAGACTATGGCTTCCAGAGACTGCAGAAAGTTATCCCGAGGCATCCCGGAGATCCGGAGAGATTAGCTAAGGTAAAATGCTCTGGAAATTGACATGTGATAACCTTCTTGTAGGATTTCAGCAAACTTACATAAATCCAGCAACTTAAGTCTCTTTAAAATTAAAATAGGCCATGAAATTTGGCTAAGCTTTAGATACAAGATGTATATAAAATATCTACTAACTATGAAATATATTATGATTAATCTCTGAGGAAATAAGAAATCTGAAAATATGGGCCTATACAACAGATACACTTCAAGTATTCAGCTTATGAAACATTGCCAACTTTACGAAAACAAATATTTGTATAATTGCTTAAAAGTGTAAGTTCCCACTCCTTTGTATTTAAATATAATTTAATTACCCATATTGCGGGGTCACATTAATCCACCATCAAGTATTCATTGAGGGTCTACTATGTACACAGGTATTTAATGAAGTGAAAAACATTTCCACGTAAAATTCCTATGAAATGCATCACTTTTTTTTTTTTTTTTTAAGATTTTATTTATTTAATTTTTCCCCCCAAAGCCCCAGTAGATAGTTGTATGTCGTAGCTGCACATCCTTCTAGTTGCTGTATGTGGGACTCGGCCTCAGGATGGACGGAGAAGTGGTGCCTCGATGAGCACCCGGGATCCGAACCCGGGCCACCAGCATTGCAGCGCGCGCACTTAACCACCAAGCCACAGGGCCGGCCCGAAATGCATCACTTTTAAATGAACTTGCTTATGAAAATTATATCATGAATCTGACTCGTTATTTTAGCTTTCTTTATTTAAAAATACATTAATTTATAAGGTATTCAATTAATGAGAAATTACTAAATTGGAAAATTTATAGTTGCTTTTTAAGCACGCACATTATAAAATGCCATGTTCTCTTCTCCGTACTGTGAGTAAAATTCAAGTACCACAGTTGCTTCTACATCACACCTTTATTTTCCTCTTGGAAAAATCCCCAGCCCCACCATTAAATTAGATGATATCTGGAAAGTAGGTTAATAGCAATTTAAAAGGCTGTTAAAAACAGGAGGTGGAAAAGACAAAATGAGAGGAAAGGGATTACTGATTACTAATTCTCTCTGGTTAAAGTGAACAGAGGGAAATATTATTGAAAGAATTCATCTTTATTAGAATAAAATTTTGCAGAAGGCATTGCCAAGATAATTTCAGTACTCTGGACAACTCCTTGGCAAGCAGCTAAACTCAGGTCAATCAATCATTTAAAAGAATATTTGGTTAATTAGACTACCAGATATTTTAATGGAATGGTCTGAAAGTAGTTTTTAATGGAACTTCCATGACATTATTAATTTTAACCAACTTCACCCTTCATTTGATTGTTTTTTGTTTCGGTAGCACAGCCATTTATGGAGCCATTTTATGGAGATGAATTCCACGTGGATATGTTTGTGTGTGTGTGTGTGTGTGTGTGTGTGTGTGTATGTGTATGTGTGTATGTGTGAGGAAGATCAGCCCTGAGCTAACATCTGACGCCAATCCTCCTCTTTTTGCTGAGGAAGACTGACCCTGGGCGAACATCCATGCCCGTCTTCCTCTACTTTATATGGGACACCGCCACAACATGGCTTGACAAGCGGTGCGTGGGTACGCGCCTGGGATCCGAACCTGCGAACCCTGGGCTGCCAAAGCGGAGCTCGCACACTTAAGCGCTATGCCACCGGGCCGGCCTGGATATGTTTTATAGAGAGATTTATGTGTATGATTATGTTCTACCTGTCAAACCAAATGTAGGACCCCTTGGCTCGTTATTTACATTTAAGGGAGATGTCTGGATTTTTATACGTAATTTTCCTTTGTGTTTGCCCTTTGGGGTTTTACCTTTCCTTATACCCCACCTTTTCTTTTCTTTTTCTAGGAAATGCTGTTGAAAAGAGCTGCAGATCTAGTGGAGGCTCTCTATGGCACACCACACAATAACCAGGTTAGATGCACACATCTTACACTCTATTGAGTTTGACTCTTCATGCTGGATAAAAATGCTCACCTCAACCTGCCCTTTTGTAGGACATCATTTTGAAGCGAGCCGCAGACATTGCTGAAGCTCTCTACAGTGTCCCCAGGAATCCCAGCCAGATCCCAGCGCTGTCCAGCTCTCCAGCTCACAGTGGCATGATGGGCATCAATTCTTATGGCAGCCAGCTTGGAGTCAGCATCTCAGAGTCAACACAGGGAAATAATCAAGGTACTACCTTTCTCAGAGTCAAAATTCAAACATCTTAGACATTTAAAAGGTTGGTTCTGCTGGAGTGGGAGGAGTTGAAGCTTGATTCATATACCATCAAAAGAGTGAGTCTCCAGGTAAGCAATGCAATTATATATTGGATTATCTCAACATTATAGGTGGTGTATCGTTAGACTTTGAGCTTTTTAGGTACCAGGTAGAATCTCTTTAATTGGGAATATTTAAGAATAAGATTGGCTATTGTGAATTTAGAAGGGTTTAGGCTTACTGAAGCTAGATTTACAGGTATTATTTGAATAAAATGTACACTTCTGCTATTGTGCTCATCCGACTGAATGATGGAAACAAGCTGAATTACTGCTGTTATCATTTATTATACCCAAGTCTCTCTTTCTAGTAACCAAGGGTGAATGGCTTGATTTTATTTGGTAACTTCTATTTGTGTATCATCTCATATACAAATATATAGCAACACACATATACAGTTAGCTGTGCTTTTACATGTAAAGTATATTGTGTAAAGATTTTTGTCATTGAAGTTGATTTTATTAAGGTGCTAAATTTATCATAAACCATTTTTTGTGTGCGTGTGTGAGGAAGATCAGCCTTGAGCTAACATTCATGCCAATCCTCCTCTTTTTGCTGAGGAAGACTGGCCCTGGGCTAACATCCGTGCCAATCTTCATCCACTTTATATGGGACGCCGCCACAGCATGGCCTGACAAGCGGTGCCTCAGTGCATGCCCGGGATCTGAACCCGGGCCGCCAGCAGTGGAGCGCGCGCACTTAACCGCTATGCCATGTGGCCGGCCCCCAAAAATCATTTTTTAAAAGGAGTTTGTTCCTAATGATGTCTCTAACCTTGGGATAGTTTTATTTCTAATTTCATTCATCCACTGCAAGGGAATTCCTCCTTCTCATGCCCAGGGTGAGTTCTTCTTACAGAAAGGTGGGTGGGACATATTATTACCTTTTTTTTTCAAATTTGGGTCATTTCCTAAATAGCTTTAGAGACAGCTATCTAAAGTGGGTTATTTCATGATAGATTAGGTGACTCTGTGTGCTGGGGTTTCAGAAGAATGGGGAGGACTCATCATCCCTCTCCCCATCCCACCCACAGATTGGATCTCCCCACACTCAGTTGCTGATGCTTCCAAGTCTTAGGTCAAAGAACAGCACATTTAGATGAACTTATGAACACTTTTTGAATGAAAATGTTCCCAACCCCCACCCAAGGCATGGCAACAGCTTTGAGCTAACATTTCCAAAGCTGTGATCTGCAGAGTACTAGTGGCCCTTGAGATGTTATTAGGATGCCTTTTCCCCACCACTCCCAGAAAAGATGCTATGGTGTGTTAAATGTGGGAAACACTAGGTCAGCAAAGTTAAACCATTTGTTCTCTAGGCCCTTCACATACGAATCTTCAAGGAATGGCTATAGTACGCAACATCTGCCAAGCTTTATTTGACCACAGCACACTTTTCTGAGTGTTACCCATTAATATCTCAAAGGGCTCTGGTGTTATATGAAATACGATTTGGGAGATGTCATTGCACTCTGCCGTTAGTCACTCATTCCTTGGCATGAGTTAGAGATGTTGACTGCAAATTTGGAAAAAGAGAAAGGAGGGACCATCGGGGACATGGCCTTGCATAGGATGGGGAAGGGAGAGGATGGTACAAAAAGGCTGAAGATAAACTGCAGACTTTCCACCACTGCCCAGGGTCAGCTTGGGGGTATCTGCAGCCTAGGGCCATGTGGACCCAGGCTGCCATATTTGGCCCATGCTGTGTGTGTGTGTGTGTGTGTGTGTGTGTGTGTGCGCGCGCGCGCACGCGTGCGCACATATTGGGTCATTCATCTGGGCTTTTTCTTTTTGTCCAGGCTACATCCGCAACACAAGCAGCATCTCTCCACGGGGCTACTCCTCCAGCTCCACCCCTCAGCAGTCTAATTACAGCACCTCCAGTAACAGCATGAATGGCTACAGCAATGTCCCTATGGCCAACCTGGGCGTTCCAGGGTCACCAGGATTTCTAAATGGCTCCCCCACAGGCTCCCCTTATGGAAGTAAGTGCTCAGCCCATCTGTCTGGCTCTCCCTGTCTCTCTGTCCTTGGGTTTTACTATTAAGCCTTTTGAGGGAGAGTTGAATTCCTACATCTTACTGACTCATGGAGGAGTAGCCCAACTTCCTGATGAAATGTCCTTCCCACCTTTTGTTCTCTTCCCTTAGCTGGACTTGGGCTCATTTGGTTATTCAAAGCCTTCTGGGGGAAAGAAAAGGAGTGAAACTATTTCCCTTACAGAGAAAGAATGTATGTGGTTTGTGTAGATGGGAGAGAGGAATTGCAATTCCATTTCAGTTAACATTATGTACACTCTTCATTAGGCGCTTTCAGATGTAGCATTTTATTTAATCTACATAAGTACTTTCTGAGGTCAGTATTATTATCTCCTGTTATAGGTGAGGAGGTTGAGGTGTGCGGCAGTTAACTGACTTACCCAATATCACACAGCTAGAATAAGCAGGGCCATAATTTGGGCACAGAATTTATGACTTCAAGTTATTTTGTGTGTCATACCATGCTCCCTTCTTACTTTGTTACATGGCTCTCCCCTCCCTTGTGTACCTCCAGAGAGATGGAACTTGACTGCTTGTGAGAGTGTGATATATGGAGACAGAACCTCTTAATCCCAGTCTGTGGGCTAGCAGCAAGCTAGATGTTCTAGGAAGTTATGAAAACTCATTCGGGGTGCTCTGGGGGCTAAGCCAGGAACTTGCACAATGGTCCCAGGAGCCTGAGAGAATATGTGTTTTTCAAACCTACTTAGGGAATACTTCAGGCCAGAGGAGAAGCCGCCATGGAGAGTCTGAGTGATTGAGTGGAGTGTTCTTGAAATGCTGGATCTTGCTGCAAGGCTCTGCAGCAGGCCCTCTGTTCACCCAGGGTGGTTCCCTCCTGCCAGGAACAAGGGCGAGTCAAGGACAACACAGCCATTTCTACCACAGCTCAGGAAGGGACATGCCAAGGACCTGGAGGCTGCCTCTCTCAGCCTTTGGGCCTGTGGTTCCCTGGGGACACACACCCATGAGTTATTTCGGGGTTATCTGCTCAATTCATTACACTCAACACCCTACTTAGTGTAATAAGGACATAGACACCAAGTAGTAGAGGTTGGTTCTTTTGGCACAAGTAAAATCTTGTTGCTGCAAAGACATGAGTTATGTGTTGTGTCTTGTCTAAAGGCCCAGATCAATTAGATCAGAGTGATCTCAGAAAACAAACTGTTGCTTGTTTCATCTGTTTATTTCTTTACTTGTTTTTACCTTATCTTGTTCCAAAAATGTTTAGGGGAATATTAATACTCAGATGGGTAATATGAAAGTATAAAAAACTGAGATGAAAGAAAAAAATAGGAATAGGAAAATCAGATGAATCCAAGGGCTAGGATAAATGCCATTCAGTCTATTCGAGGGAGCCGTTAATTTGGTTCAGAGGCATACAAGATGGTAAAGCAAAGAGAGAAACACTATTTGGTGTAAGATTTTATGTCTACACGTTATTATTATTATTATTTTTTAGTAGCTCAGGAGAAACCTGATTTTTCTGTTGCTGAGACCTTGGAGAGGTTTCTCCCATGCATCCTTGCAGAGAGGGAACCCTGTGTGCAGAAGGGACCGCATCTTCAACGGCCCTGACAAGTGACACACAGGCAAGAGAGCCATTGTGCAAATAATGTCACATAATATTGGTGACAACAGTAAGAGTAATTCACAATTACATTCCACTTTACAGCCTAAAAAGCATGTTCACATATAGAGTCCAGTCAGATTCTAACAACAGCCTTATGACATGGATATAATAATAATTATAACATTTTCCCTTCTAAAATATGAAAGGTTATTAATTGACTCGCTCAAGGATTCATAGACTCAAAATATCATGTTTTAAAATTATTCAATAATATAAGAAATATTTAATATATTTATAGTACATTATTAGGCTGAACCATATGAAGTTACCTCTTTTTGATTTCCAAAAATGGCAATTTCATATGTTCAATCATATATCTATTAATAAAATGTATGTATTCGGTTGAACCATATGAAATTGTCATTTTTATAGATCAAAAATAGTCAATATAATAGTACAGTGTGTGGTGTGGTGATGGAGGAAGAAGAAAGAGAGAAAAAGACAGGGAGGGGTGGGTGGGGTGGAGGAGGAGAGAGAGAGAGAATAGAGGAATGAATGAAAATGCCCATTGGGTGTTAAGTGCTTAATGTTTCCTACTAGATAATTCATTTGGTAGGGAGGGACCGTTCCCACTTCAGCAAATGACAACTTCCTTCCACTATCCTCTCTTGATCACTCAGTCCTACTGCCACAAGAAAAATAATAACACCCCAAATCTTCAAATCACGCATTCAAACAAGACAGCATACACAGAATAGAAAGACGAAGGCGCCCTGCCCAGCAGGAGAGAGAGACACAGCACAGGACCTCGGCCCTGCTCCTGCTGGGTCTGTGTGATCCCTGCACCTTCATTTTCTGAGGGAGGGTCTGAAGGAGTTGCAGACTGGGGATGAGATTCCAAACAGTGCATTTATTACAATAAAATCCCCTACTGCAAAAGTAGCCAGCCCTGGTGGGCTAGTGGTTAAGATCCGTTGCCCTCACTGCTGCAGCCCAAATCTGTTTCCAGGTCAGGGAACCACACCACCCATCTGTCGGTTGTCATGCCGTGGTGGCTGCCTGTGGCTGTGATGCTGAAAGCTATGCCACTGGGATTTCAAACACCAGCAGCCTCACCCATGGGGACAGGTTTCAGCAGAGCTTCCAGACTAGACAGATTAGGAAGAAGGACCTGGCCACCCACTTTTCCGAATGAAAACCCTATGAATAGCAGCGGAGCATTGTCTGATACAGCACCAGAAGGTGAGAGGATGGCACAGAAAGACCGGGCAGGATTCCACTCTGCTGTCCACAGGGTCACTAGGAGTCCACTCGATGGCACTAACAACAACTGCAAAAATACTGAATACCCCATAGAGTTCATTATACTAGCATCTGACCTGTATTTCTAACCAGCTAAGTCTTAACTTCTCTGGGAAATACAAAGAAAGCCCAGGAGAAACCATTTTGTCAATTCAGTTGCTCGTGTCTGAAAACATCATTCTATGATTTTTCATTTTATTTTTTAAACTAGTCTGAGGTGGCCAGGCCATGCCATGGAGCAATCACTTGCCAGAGACGTTAAAAAGAAATAAAGCCAAGCCTCTCGGTCAAGTTGACTTGCATTACGGCCAAGGCAGAGTATCAGAAACCTGCGTCTTTACTGCTTCTGCTCTCTCACCACTTCAAAAATGGCCAAACAGATGTGTTTTCAATTTCACATACAAACTTCACTTCCTGGCGGTAGCAGTGTGTGCCAAGTTCCAGCTCAGTGCAAGTTTCTATGGCTGAATTCTAAACCCCTGACAATAGGGGGTTATAATGAAATGCTGACAGACCCCTGAGCGCCAACAAATGCAATGGCTCGATGCAAAGGAGGATGTGTGCCTGGTAAGGTCCAGCTGGAACTGTGCGAGCCGATCCATCCTTATAAGAAGAAAAGTGGTTTTTCCTTAACTCCCCATGCTCACAGAGATTTCTGGGCCAGACGTGCTTGCCTTTACTTTGGCCTCTCTCCATAGAGAGAGAGGTCCAGAAATTCTCAATTGCAAGTATGTGTGATCAGCTTTCCTAAAATGGTACATTCTGGTGTCCCCAAAGATGGGCTCCTCAACAAGCCTGCAACGCCCATGGGGCCACTTCTTTCAACGCAGCGTAGCCGTCAAGCAAATGCAAAGTTTGGAACAGAATCCACACAGACAAGAATCCAACCTGTCTTCTGGGATTCCTACCTCACTTACATAGTCTTAGACTAGGCCCTGGTCCTCGATGTTTTTATATTTTCAAAAATAAATATCAAGACATTTTCTATTGTGGAGTATTAAATGATTATTAGAGCATTTAGAACATATGAAAATAGTTTTAAAAAGAAAGCCTATTCCGGGGTCAGCCCAGTGGTGTAGTGTGATTAAGTTCATGTGCTCCACTTTGGCAGCACGGGGTTCGCAGGTTTGAATCCCAGGCATGGACCAAGGCACCACTCATCAAGCCATGCTGTGGCAGTGTCCCACATATAAAGTAGAGGAAGATGGGCACGGGTGTTAGCCCAGGGCCAATCTTCCTCAGCAGAAAGAGGAGAATTGGCAACAGATGTTAGCTCAGGGCTGATCTTCCTCACCAAAACAAAAAAAGAAAGCCTATTCTCACTGTAAAAAAACCCTTAACATTTTGATATATTTCTATTGGTTTTATTTTTCAGAAAAGAAAAAAAATCCTATTACAATAGTAACATTCTCATTATAGACAATTTGAAAAGTATATATATATATATGTGTATACATATATATATATATAAAAAGAAAAATGACACACTTTATTTCTATGTGGAAACAACCATTGTTAACTTTTAAAGTATAACCTTCCAGTCACGGATAGATACATTTTGAAAATTGCAGCGTCTGCTCTGATGCACAACTAATGGGATTCTGCCATAAGACCAATGAAAGAGAGTAGGAGAAGAGTGGCAAAATTACCTAAGTCACAGCTATGAAGCTAGGCTCCTAAAATCCATCTAAGGTGCACACCTGTGTCTTAAGAATGGAGAACACATATTAGGAGTGATGTTTGCTTTGCAAAATTAACTACAATCAACAAACTTTTCCCAGGGATTTGAGAATTTATTAGTCTCTGCTTTTTTATAGCAGAAGGGTTAACAGACAACCCTGTTTACAGGCAGTAAAGCCTTAAATTGAAGAAGAACATTAACATCCAGGAAAGCTATTATACTTATTGCTAAGGATTATATTATTTTTTACTAAAGAAATAGAAATTTTCTGTTTATTTTAACAACTTTGACTGGTTTCTGCTACATCAAAAGTAATACATGTTCATTGTAGAAAATTTTGAAAATATGGACAAGTAAAAGGAATACATTTAAGAATATTCATAATCCCAT